CAAACTGGGTGGTCAGTGACCACTACCACTATCACTATATCACACCACCCGATATGCTGTCCAAACACTTACCAATAGTGCCCAAAATAGTAGGAAAACGGCCAGACATAACAAATCGGTACACTTTCGCGGCTTTGATATATGATTGATGTCCACCTAATTGTGATAATAATAATAATCAACAATCAATTCAATTGTTATGTATCTTAAGAGACCTGTTGTGGTGATAGACAATCGCAACACAAGAAGTTTATTGTCATTGTTGTCGTTGTCGTCGGTGTTGTCGTCGATGTTATTGTTGTTATTGTTTTTGTAATGTTTTGTGATTTTATTTTATGTTTTTTTTTCGTTTGAAATGTTTTTTTTGAATTCAATACACAAAACAAATCAAAACATTTACTATTACTCTCTCTCTCTCTCACACTATCTCTCTCTCTCTCTCTCTCTTTCTTACTCTCTCTTACTCTCTCTCTCTCTCTCTCTCTCTCTCTTCTCTCTCTCTCTCTCTCTCTCTCTCTCTCTCTCTCTCTCTCTCTCTCTCACACACACACTATCTCTCTCTCTCTCTCTCTCTCTCTCTCTGTTACTCTCTTTCTCTCTCTCTCTCTCACTATCTCTCTCTCTCTCTCTCTCACTATCTCTCTCTCTCTCTCACTATCTCTCTCTCACTATCTCTCTCTCTCTCTCTCTTACTCTCTCTTACTCTCTCTCTCTCTCTCTCTCTCTCTCTCTCTCTCTCTCTCTCTCTCTCTCTCTCTCTCTCTCTCTCTCTCTCTCTCTCTCTCTCTCACACACACTMTCTCTCTCTCTCTCTCTCTCTGTTACTCTCTTTCTCTCTCTCTCTCTCACTATCTCTCTCTCTCTCTCTCTCACTATCTCTCTCTCTCTCTCACTATCTCTCTCTCACTATCTCTCTCTCTCTCTCTCTCTCTCTCTCACTCTCTGTGTGTATGTATTTAGTAGTAGAGACTCAATATATTAGGATTTTGTTATTTTTTTAAAAATATGTAAAAAAATATGTTTGAAACAAATATAGTAAAATTTATTTATTTTTTATTAGTCTATATTTAGTATAATATATCTAAAAAAAATGTTTGTTAAATAATACTGTAATTAATTTTGATTTAAAAAAAATATAATTAAATTATATATTTTTTTAAAATTATTTAAATTTTTTAAAAATTAAATCTATCTAAATATAAAATTATAATTTTTCTTAATTAATTATTTTTAAAAAATTATTTATTTCTTAAATATCTTATTAAATAGACAATGTAAATTAATAGATTTAAAAGTAAAATAGAAATTTCATTAATATTAAATTACTAATTATAAAATATGTTTGTGTGTGTGTGTGTGTGTGTGTGTTATTATTAAATAAATATAATTAAAATTTATAAAAATTGTGAACAAAATTTTTTTAATTAAAATTTATTATTAAATATATTATTATATTTGGTTTATTTATATATATTTAATTTCCGATCATTATCAATACTTCAATTATAATTTATTTAATATTTATATAATATAATTTATAATTATACTCCTATTTTATTAGTTTTTATTTTGTGTGAAAAAAATTTATTTATGAAAAAAATACATAACCTAAATTAAAAAAAAAAACTATATTAACCTAACCTAACCTAACCTAACCTAACCTAACGAAATAATAAATAGAGAGAAAATTATAAAATTATAATAAATAAATTATTTAATTAATAATTTTTTTCATATTTGATCGATTGAAGTTTAATTTATTTTAAAATTATTATTATTATTATCATCATTCTTACACTTAATATTTTAATTACAAATATTTATATAAAATATTTTTGCTGTTATCAACTAAAAATACAATATTTTTTTAATGTAAAAAATCACATACAGATTATTTGAAAAATTTACATTTTATATAAAAAAATTCAATAATAATTATTAAATTTTACATAATTAAAAAATAAATCACACATATATATAATATATATAAATCTATTTACTAGTATATTATATACTGGAGATAAATAAAATTTTACAATTACAAAAATTTACATCAAAATAAAAAATTTAAAAAAAATATTGAGTATATAAATAGCTTATTATATATATATTATATAATAGCTTGAAATAGTATAAAATACTTATTTAAAAAAAAACAATCAAAAAATAATAATAACTTAAATAATTATAATTCAAACATCAAAAATCTAATAATAATAATAATAATAATCTATAATTTAAAAAAAATAATATTTTAAATAATTAATAAACAAACAAAATAATAAATTACGCTTATTATAGACACAAATTACGTTGATATCTACAAATGACGTGTATATCCATAAATTACGTACACTATATACACAAATAACGTTGATTTGCACAAATTACGCAAATTTATCAAACGTAACCTAACCTAACTCAAATAATTAAAACCTGTAAAAAATCACATATAATATTTGAAAAAATTTATCTAATCCTAACCTATCTAAATTAACCAAACATAACGTAACGAAATAATAAATAGAGAAAATTATAAAATTATAATAAATAAATTATTTAATTAATAATTTTTTTCATATTTGATCGATTGAAGTTTAATTTATTTTAAAATTATTATTATTATTATTCTTACACTTAATATTTTAATTACAAATATTTATATAAAATATTTTTGCTGTTATCAACTAAAAATACAATATTTTTTTAAAGTTTTTGAAAAATTTACATTTTATATAAAAAAATTCAATAATAATTTTTAAATATTACATAATTAAAAAATAAATCACACACATATATATATAAAAAAATCTATTTACTAGTATATTATATACTGGAGATAAATAAAATTTTACAATTACAAAAATTTACATCAAAATAAAAAATTTAAAAAAAATATTGAGTATATAAATAGCTTATTATATATATATTATATAATAGCTTGAAATAGTATAAAATACTTATTTAAAAAAAAAAACAATCAAAAAATAATAATAACTTAAATAATTATAATTCAAACATCAAAAATCTAATAATAATAATAATAATCTATAATTTAAAAAAAATAATATTTTAAATAATTAATAAACAAACAAAATAATTAATTAATTAATTAATTGATTTATATATTTAAACTAAAATTAATAAATAAAAATAAATCAATTCATACAAACATATATATATAATAAAATAATTTGAGGGGAATGTTAGGTATGTTAGGTTTTAATCGAGAAGACTAGTATTGTTTTGATGATTATTATTATTATTGTTGACCACCGAAGTATCAGCGGTAGTACCGCCGCCGCCGCCGCCAATGTTGCCGTAGTCGACAGTTGCCGAATGTGTCGCTCGTTTGATAGCTGCCAACAGTGTCGGCGTCGACGGTATACTTTCGATGTCGATATCGATTAGCTTATACTCCAAATCGGTCGAACACTTGCGCTGCCGTCGGGGCAGTACTGGCCTACTGTCCGAATTACTGCCGGTACTACTGTGGCTATGATTGCGCTCCAATGTCGAGGCACGCGGCGGTAACGGTGGACCAGTATTGTTGTTGTTGTTGGTGTTGGTGTTAGTACTGGTCGTCGATGACGCTGACGATGAGGATGTTGTCGATGAATAATGAATAGTATTCAGACCCGAATTGATTGGATGCGATCGGGGTATAGAACGGGATCGTTGGACTCGGGCGGCGCCTCCGTTCTCGAAACCGGCACTTCGAGGCCGAGACAAACAATTGTTGGCCTGATCTTGCGGTACGGAATAGATGTTTTCGTCTAGCATTTGATGGCCATAGACTGCCAGCATTTCGTTGCTGCCAATAGGGTTGGCCGCAAAAGCTGCGGCCGCACTGTTCAGTACAGCCTTTTTGTGTGTATCGCCGCCACCGCCGGGAATCGGTGGCAACGGCTGCGACAGTATCGATGGCCGGCTATCGATGTTTGACTGATGTATGTGCGCCCGCATTGTCTGAAATCGTTCGACCAGTCGCTGATGCAGTGGCCGTACGGACAACGTGTGCGACCAGATTAGGATTGGCCGCCGCAATAAAATCGGGAAATAATTTTTTTTTAGCACAAATGGGAATATAATTTTTTGATGCATTGCTTACCCATACATACATATAGTATGTAATGTATTGTCTGAATACAGTCAATACAGCGATGATTTGGTACCCAATAAACCATATAATTAACAATACATTCAATGAATAGAATATTTTCAGAGACAGTAATAATTAGTTTACAATCGATTATGTAATCAAATCGATTGATTAGTACTATTTACAAGTGAGATAGTCTAAAATTTTTCAATTTTCTAGGGTTGCATCATGGACAATTATTTTTGAGTTTTATTTTGTTGAAACATTAAGTAATACACAAATTATTAGTAGTAATAATTATATAAATTATTAGTAGTTATAATTATACAAATTATAATTAATAGTATAGTGTAAAAATTAAAAAAGTTAATCCATTATATAAAATTTTTAATATAAAAATAACTAAATAATTAATGTTTTTGATTTTTTAGTAGCACATATTATATAAATACTTTATATAAAATTTTTAATGTAAAAATAATTAAATAATACTAAATAATAAATTTTTTGATTTATATTTTACTGAATTACATGATTTATAGAATATTTTATTATTTTTTAATATTAAGTAGTATATACAGTAGTATAGAGTGGAAAATAAACAATTTTATATATATTTATCTTATACTAAATTGTATTGAATCATTAATAACATTTATAAAATTATAATTAATACTATAAATTACTTACATTATAAACACAAATGACGTTGTACACAAATTACGGTGACAATTAATTACGCTGATTTACATAAATTACGTTTATTATAGACACAAATTACGTTGATTTACATAAATTACGTTTATTATAGACACAAATTACATTTATTATAGACACAAATTACGTTGATATCCACAAATTACGTTTATATTCATAAATTACGATGACAAGAATTATTACGTTAAACTTATTTAGTATTATCTCATCTAATCTCTAATCTCTAATCTCTAATCTCTAATCTCTAATCTCTAATCTCTAATCTAATCTCTAATCTAATCTCTAATCTAATCTCTAATCTCTAATCTAATTACGTTGATATCCACAAATTACGTTGATATCCATAAATTACGTTGATACACACAAATTTCGTTGATATCTACAAATTACGTTGATTTACATAAATTACGTTGATATCTACAAATGACGTTGATATCCACAAATTACGTTAATATTCATAAAATACGTTGATTTACAAAAATTACGTTTATTATAGACACAAATTACGTTTATATCCATAAATTACTTTGAAAATAATTAATTATGTCAATTTACATAAATTACGTTTATTATAGACACAAATTATTTTGATATTAATAAATTACGTTGATTTCCGCAAATTACGCTAATATTCATAAATTACGTTGATTTACATAAATTACGTTTATTATAGACACAAATTATGTTTATATCCATAAATTACTGTGACAATAATTAATTACGTCAATTTACATAAATTACGCTTATTATAGACACAAATTACGTTGATATCTACAAATGACGTGTATATCCATAAATTACGTACACTATATACACAAATAACGTTGATTTGCACAAATTACGCAAATTTATCAAACGTAACCTAACCTAACTCAAATAATTAAAACCTGTAAAAAATCACATATAATATTTGAAAAAATTTATCTAATCCTAACCTATCTAAATTAACCAAACATAACGTAACGAAATAATAAATAGAGAAAATTATAAAATTATAATAAATAAATTATTTAATTAATAATTTTTTTCATATTTGATCGATTGAAGTTTAATTTATTTTAAAATTATTATTATTATTATTCTTACACTTAATATTTTAATTACAAATATTTATATAAAATATTTTTGCTGTTATCAACTAAAAATACAATATTTTTTTAAAGTTTTTGAAAAATTTACATTTTATATAAAAAAATTCAATAATAATTTTTAAATATTACATAATTAAAAAATAAATCACACACATATATATATAAAAAAATCTATTTACTAGTATATTATATACTGGAGATAAATAAAATTTTACAATTACAAAAATTTACATCAAAATAAAAAATTTAAAAAAAATATTGAGTATATAAATAGCTTATTATATATATATTATATAATAGCTTGAAATAGTATAAAATACTTATTTAAAAAAAAAAACAATCAAAAAATAATAATAACTTAAATAATTATAATTCAAACATCAAAAATCTAATAATAATAATAATAATCTATAATTTAAAAAAAAATAATATTTTAAATAATTAATAAACAAACAAAATAATTAATTAATTAATTAATTGATTTATATATTTAAACTAAAATTAATAAATAAAAATAAATCAATTCATACAAACATATATATATAATAAAATAATTTGAGGGGAATGTTAGGTATGTTAGGTTTTAATCGAGAAGACTAGTATTGTTTTGATGATTATTATTATTATTGTTGACCACCGAAGTATCAGCGGTAGTACCGCCGCCGCCGCCGCCAATGTTGCCGTAGTCGACAGTTGCCGAATGTGTCGCTCGTTTGATAGCTGCCAACAGTGTCGGCGTCGACGGTATACTTTCGATGTCGATATCGATTAGCTTATACTCCAAATCGGTCGAACACTTGCGCTGCCGTCGGGGCAGTACTGGCCTACTGTCCGAATTACTGCCGGTACTACTGTGGCTATGATTGCGCTCCAATGTCGAGGCACGCGGCGGTAACGGTGGACCAGTATTGTTGTTGTTGTTGTGTTGGTGTTAGTACTGGTCGTCGATGACGCTGACGATGAGGATGTTGTCGATGAATAATGAATAGTATTCAGACCCGAATTGATTGGATGCGATCGGGGTATAGAACGGGATCGTTGGACTCGGGCGGCGCCTCCGTTCTCGAAACCGGCACTTCGAGGCCGAGACAAACAATTGTTGGCCTGATCTTGCGGTACGGAATAGATGTTTTCGTCTAGCATTTGATGGCCATAGACTGCCAGCATTTCGTTGCTGCCAATAGGGTTGGCCGCAAAAGCTGCGGCCGCACTGTTCAGTACAGCCTTTTTGTGTGTATCGCCGCCACCGCCGGGAATCGGTGGCAACGGCTGCGACAGTATCGATGGCCGGCTATCGATGTTTGACTGATGTATGTGCGCCCGCATTGTCTGAAATCGTTCGACCAGTCGCTGATGCAGTGGCCGTACGGACAACGTGTGCGACCAGATTAGGATTGGCCGCCGCAATAAAATCGGGAAATAATTTTTTTTTAGCACAAATGGGAATATAATTTTTTGATGCATTGCTTACCCATACATACATATAGTATGTAATGTATTGTCTGAATACAGTCAATACAGCGATGATTTGGTACCCAATAAACCATATAATTAACAATACATTCAATGAATAGAATATTTTCAGAGACAGTAATAATTAGTTTACAATCGATTATGTAATCAAATCGATTGATTAGTACTATTTACAAGTGAGATAGTCTAAAATTTTTCAATTTTCTAGGGTTGCATCATGGACAATTATTTTTGAGTTTTATTTTGTTGAAACATTAAGTAATACACAAATTATTAGTAGTAATAATTATATAAATTATTAGTAGTTATAATTATACAAATTATAATTAATAGTATAGTGTAAAAATTAAAAAAGTTAATCCATTATATAAAATTTTTAATATAAAAATAACTAAATAATTAATGTTTTTGATTTTTTAGTAGCACATATTATATAAATACTTTATATAAAATTTTTAATGTAAAATAATTAAATAATACTAAATAATAAATTTTTTGATTTATATTTTACTGAATTACATGATTTATAGAATATTTTATTATTTTTTAATATTAAGTAGTATATACAGTAGTATAGAGTGGAAAATAAACAATTTTATATATATTTATCTTATACTAAATTGTATTGAATCATTAATAACATTTATAAAATTATAATTAATACTATAAATTACTTACATTATAAACACAAATGACGTTGTACACAAATTACGGTGACAATTAATTACGCTGATTTACATAAATTACGTTTATTATAGACACAAATTACGTTGATTTACATAAATTACGTTTATTATAGACACAAATTACATTTATTATAGACACAAATTACGTTGATATCCACAAATTACGTTTATATTCATAAATTACGATGACAAGAATTATTACGTTAAACTTATTTAGTATTATCTCATCTAATCTCTAATCTCTAATCTCTAATCTCTAATCTCTAATCTCTAATCTCTAATCTAATCTCTAATCTAATCTCTAATCTAATCTCTAATCTAATTACGTTGATATCCACAAATTACGTTGATATCCATAAATTACGTTGATACACACAAATTTCGTTGATATCTACAAATTACGTTGATTTACATAAATTACGTTGATATCTACAAATGACGTTGATATCCACAAATTACGTTAATATTCATAAAATACGTTGATTTACAAAAATTACGTTTATTATAGACACAAATTACGTTTATATCCATAAATTACTTTGAAAATAATTAATTATGTCAATTTACATAAATTACGTTTATTATAGACACAAATTATTTTGATATTAATAAATTACGTTGATTTCCGCAAATTACGCTAATATTCATAAATTACGTTGATTTACATAAATTACGTTTATTATAGACACAAATTATGTTTATATCCATAAATTACTGTGACAATAATTAATTACGTCAATTTACATAAATTACGCTTATTATAGACACAAATTACGTTGATATCTACAAATGACGTGTATATCCATAAATTACGTACACTATATACACAAATAACGTTGATTTGCACAAATTACGCAAATTTATCAAACGTAACCTAACCTAACTCAAATAATTAAAACCTGTAAAAAATCACATATAATATTTGAAAAAATTTATCTAATCCTAACCTATCTAAATTAACCAAACATAACGTAACGAAATAATAAATAGAGAAAATTATAAAATTATAATAAATAAATTATTTAATTAATAATTTTTTTCATATTTGATCGATTGAAGTTTAATTTATTTTAAAATTATTATTATTATTATTCTTACACTTAATATTTTAATTACAAATATTTATATAAAATATTTTTGCTGTTATCAACTAAAAATACAATATTTTTTTAAAGTTTTTGAAAAATTTACATTTTATATAAAAAAATTCAATAATAATTTTTAAATATTACATAATTAAAAAATAAATCACACACATATATATATAAAAAAATCTATTTACTAGTATATTATATACTGGAGATAAATAAAATTTTACAATTACAAAAATTTACATCAAAATAAAAAATTTAAAAAAAATATTGAGTATATAAATAGCTTATTATATATATATTATATAATAGCTTGAAATAGTATAAAATACTTATTTAAAAAAAAAAACAATCAAAAAATAATAATAACTTAAATAATTATAATTCAAACATCAAAAATCTAATAATAATAATAATAATCTATAATTTAAAAAAAAATAATATTTTAAATAATTAATAAACAAACAAAATAATTAATTAATTAATTAATTGATTTATATATTTAAACTAAAATTAATAAATAAAAATAAATCAATTCATACAAACATATATATATAATAAAATAATTTGAGGGGAATGTTAGGTATGTTAGGTTTTAATCGAGAAGACTAGTATTGTTTTGATGATTATTATTATTATTGTTGACCACCGAAGTATCAGCGGTAGTACCGCCGCCGCCGCCGCCAATGTTGCCGTAGTCGACAGTTGCCGAATGTGTCGCTCGTTTGATAGCTGCCAACAGTGTCGGCGTCGACGGTATACTTTCGATGTCGATATCGATTAGCTTATACTCCAAATCGGTCGAACACTTGCGCTGCCGTCGGGGCAGTACTGGCCTACTGTCCGAATTACTGCCGGTACTACTGTGGCTATGATTGCGCTCCAATGTCGAGGCACGCGGCGGTAACGGTGGACCAGTATTGTTGTTGTTGGTGTTGGTGTTAGTACTGGTCGTCGATGACGCTGACGATGAGGATGTTGTCGATGAATAATGAATAGTATTCAGACCCGAATTGATTGGATGCGATCGGGGTATAGAACGGGATCGTTGGACTCGGGCGGCGCCTCCGTTCTCGAAACCGGCACTTCGAGGCCGAGACAAACAATTGTTGGCCTGATCTTGCGGTACGGAATAGATGTTTTCGTCTAGCATTTGATGGCCATAGACTGCCAGCATTTCGTTGCTGCCAATAGGGTTGGCCGCAAAAGCTGCGGCCGCACTGTTCAGTACAGCCTTTTTGTGTGTATCGCCGCCACCGCCGGGAATCGGTGGCAACGGCTGCGACAGTATCGATGGCCGGCTATCGATGTTTGACTGATGTATGTGCGCCCGCATTGTCTGAAATCGTTCGACCAGTCGCTGATGCAGTGGCCGTACGGACAACGTGTGCGACCAGATTAGGATTGGCCGCCGCAATAAAATCGGGAAATAATTTTTTTTAGCACAAATGGGAATATAATTTTTTGATGCATTGCTTACCCATACATACATATAGTATGTAATGTATTGTCTGAATACAGTCAATACAGCGATGATTTGGTACCCAATAAACCATATAATTAACAATACATTCAATGAATAGAATATTTTCAGAGACAGTAATAACGTTTGTAATGATTATGTAATCAAATCGATTGATTAGTACTATTTACAAGTGAGATAGTCTAAAATTTTTCAATTTTCTAGGGTTGCATCATGGACAATTATTTTTGAGTTTTATTTTGTTGAAACATTAAGTAATACACAAATTATTAGTAGTAATAATTATATAAATTATTAGTAGTTATAATTATACAAATTATAATTAATAGTATAGTGTAAAAATTAAAAAAGTTAATCCATTATATAAAATTTTTAATATAAAAATAACTAAATAATTAATGTTTTTGATTTTTTAGTAGCACATATTATATAAATACTTTATATAAAATTTTTAATGTAAAAATAATTAAATAATACTAAATAATAAATTTTTTGATTTATATTTTACTGAATTACATGATTTATAGAATATTTTATTATTTTTTAATATTAAGTAGTATATACAGTAGTATAGAGTGGAAAATAAACAATTTTATATATATTTATCTTATACTAAATTGTATTGAATCATTAATAACATTTATAAAATTATAATTAATACTATAAATTACTTACATTATAAACACAAATGACGTTGTACACAAATTACGGTGACAATTAATTACGCTGATTTACATAAATTACGTTTATTATAGACACAAATTACGTTGATTTACATAAATTACGTTTATTATAGACACAAATTACATTTATTATAGACACAAATTACGTTGATATCCACAAATTACGTTTATATTCATAAATTACGATGACAAGAATTATTACGTTAAACTTATTTAGTATTATCTCATCTAATCTCTAATCTCTAATCTCTAATCTCTAATCTCTAATCTCTAATCTCTAATCTAATCTAATCTAATCTCTAATCTAATCTCTAATCTAATCTAATTACGTTGATATCCACAAATTACGTTGATATCCATAAATTACGTTGATACACACAAATTTCGTTGATATCTACAAATTACGTTGATTTACATAAATTACGTTGATATCTACAAATGACGTTGATATCCACAAATTACGTTAATATTCATAAAATACGTTGATTTACAAAAATTACGTTTATTATAGACACAAATTACGTTTATATCCATAAATTACTTTGAAAATAATTAATTATGTCAATTTACATAAATTACGTTTATTATAGACACAAATTATTTTGATATTAATAAATTACGTTGATTTCCGCAAATTACGCTAATATTCATAAATTACGTTGATTTACATAAATTACGTTTATTATAGACACAAATTATGTTTATATCCATAAATTACTGTGACAATAATTAATTACGTCAATTTACATAAATTACGCTTATTATAGACACAAATTACGTTGATATCTACAAATGACGTGTATATCCATAAATTACGTACACTATATACACAAATAACGTTGATTTGCACAAATTACGCAAATTTATCAAACGTAACCTAACCTAACTCAAATAATTAAAACCTGTAAAAAATCACATATAATATTTGAAAAAATTTATCTAATCCTAACCTATCTAAATTAACCAAACATAACGTAACGAAATAATAAATAGAGAAAATTATAAAATTATAATAAATAAATTATTTAATTAATAATTTTTTTCATATTTGATCGATTGAAGTTTAATTTATTTTAAAATTATTATTATTATTATTCTTACACTTAATATTTTAATTACAAATATTTATATAAAATATTTTTGCTGTTATCAACTAAAAATACAATATTTTTTT